GTCGAAAAAGTAAAACATTGACATGGACGACGACGACGACGGACAATCACTCATATGATAAGCTCCGCTCGACAAAGTCGACAGCGGAGCTAAAAATGTGGTCATGGTCCTATTATGTTTAATGTATGTACCAAATTTGAACAAAATCCGTCCATGCATAACTGAGATCCGGAATGGTGAAAATGTGCAATTTCAATGCATTTTCGGCCTTAAAGCAGCCGCCATTTGGCTATCGTTAATGAGATCATGAAACAAATGCACATACATATTTGTGACATGATGTACCTTGTGTGTGTGAAGTTTGAACTTGATCAATCCAGACATGTCTCGGATATGGATCCAGAACTGAATTCTTTAAAACAAAATGGCCGCCAGTCGGCCATTTCAAACCCAATCCAAAAAAAAAAGAAAGACGTGCATCAAGGTCCTATTATGTTTAATGTATATACCAAATTTAACAAAATCCGTCCATGCATAACTGAGATCCCGGTCCGGAATGGTGAAAATGTGCGATTTTGATGCATTTTCGGCCTTAAAATGGCCGCTATTTGACTATCGTTAATCGGATCATGAAAAAAATGCATGTGCACATGTCCCATATAATGTGTGATGTATGAGTGAAGTTTGAACTTAATCGGTCCATGCATGTTCGAGGAAACCCATTCATTAAAATAAAATGGCCGCCAGACAGCCATTTTGAATCTTATCTGAAAAATAAAATGACGTGCATCAGGAACCCGTAATGTCTAACGTATGTACCAAGTTTAAACGAAATCCATCCAGAAATGCCAGAAATGCTTGATATTTGATGATTTTTTAGCACAAATATTGTCACCATTCGGCCATTTTGAATAGGATCGTCAAACCAATATATCTGTCTATCTATGACATGATGTATAATGAATATTTAAAATTTGAACATAATAAAAGAAAGTCGAAGATATGGCATGAGAACCACATTCATTAAAACCAAAATGGCCACCAGTCAGCCATCTTGAATCAGATCGTGAAACAAATTGACATGCATATGTATATTATCATGTATGATGTATGTATGAAGTTTGATTGTGATTGGTCCAGGCATTTCTAAGATACAGAGACGGACGCATGCACGCACGGACACACGGAGGTCAAAACATAAGTCCTCGTTTTCGGACTGCGTCCAAACAGGGACTAATAAAATTGCCACCAGTCAGCTATACCAAATCCAATCTAACAAAATGTTGCACAATTTGAAGAAAATATGTGCATGAATGATGTAGATCTAGATCAAGGACTTTAGAAATGCTTGATTTTGATGAATTTTTTAGATTACAATGTATCAAACCTATTGAAAAAAAAAACACAATAAAATAAACAATAGAATGTATGCAAGTCTATATCAAACCACAAAACAAACTGATGTGCATCATTAACTATGTATGATGTTCATACCAAATTTGAGTAAAACATTACTAAAAAACAGTGATAACATTTTGCAATTTTATTTATTGTTTTGATGAAAATGACCATCAGTCAGTTAAGTTTTATCAAAAACCAAATATAACTGAAGTGAACATGTATACATCGGTACGCCACTTTGAGTACTGGTCCAAAAATGCCTGGGACCCAAATGGCCACCAGTCAGATAATTTAAAATGTGTGAATCATTAACGCCAATGTTTGAAAAATGTAACTCCAAATTATAGTGCATTGAGGAATAATTATGTCAGATTGTGGGAGCAGACACACTTTTTGATTCAGGAGTTGTGTTTGAATCAGTCAGAATAATCCCATAAGACACAATGATTTGGAATTGAGATATGGTGAATAGCTGCCAGTCAACCATCTTTGTATGTATTGTAACACAAATCAAGTGTTGTTAATGTGCTAGCACATCTAGCTATCTGTAAACCGTATTTGATTTAAAATATAAGCCAAAATGTGCAAAAAAGGACAAAAATCGCAG